TGAAAAGCAGTATGAAAGTGACTAAAAGAGGTATTGAGTCTTTTAAAAGAAAATTGTAAATATCTAATCCAAGTCTCAGGGAACATAAAATGTAATTAAATTCTGAATGTGGATCTACTGTCAGCCCAAGATCACAAATTCAAATAAATATAGTATAATTTTTTTATACTCACATGAGTAATTATTTTTAATATTTCTAAGCGTTTCTTAGCAAACAGAGACACTTTGACTTGTACAATGCAATAATGCACAATAGTACCATATCGAATAGTAGTAAATTAATTATAGAATATAGAGAACACAACCAGACATTTATTATTTGTGACAATACATCGGTGATGTATGCATTTTTATAAAGCTTGGATTGATTTCTGGATGTGAGAAGATGTTTGAGAGATTTAGAATATTTCACTCATGCCTGTCTCATGCTTGTTGTAAGTAACCAATGCTAAGAAAGAATATATTCAAATTAAAACAATTCCTGATGTCTGTCGCTGTGTGCTTATCAATTTTTCTATGTTGTAATAACGTTTTGTTTACCTTTTTGTTGTCATCAGTAGCACTTGTTTTATGACCATAATGGCTTGTAATCATCAATATAATATTAAAATGAGCAGTTTTAGTAATGTTTTAAACTCAGAAACGCAATCTATTATCAAAGATTCAGTGCCAAAAAACAGCAAAACAAACAGAGAAAGTGTGTGGAAGCAATTTCAAGAATTTCGTGAAGAAAAAAAAATACAAATTAACAGCACAAACTATGAAGAAATTGCATACATTTTAAAGATTTGGCAATTCATTTGCAAAGATTAGATGGTGAAGAGTACATAGAAAACTCTATCAAAACCATGAGGAACTTTAAAATATAAGTACATGAAAACTATACAGGAAAATACTTCAATGAGTACAAACAAAGTGTTCAATCCGTTCGATGGTGACGAATCCCGCTGCTAATTCTGCTCCTACGCCTTCCATTTCAAATACACATGGAGAACTCAACTATAAAGTTTTGTTACCATAAAAATGAAACAATTGAAATACTTTTCTGTATTAAACTATTATTCATATTTTACTTGGATATCTTTTATTCCAAGAGGCAGTGATAACTCGGAGTTGAATAAAATTTTCACATAATTACAGTTTCAGCTCTTTTGAATAATATTTCTCTTTTTCATAATTCCTGCGATTTTAATTACCCATTCGATTCATGTAACGTGTTAATTTTATGAAATAGTCACACTAAATATCACTTGAAGTAATATTTGTGAAATAGTCACACAAATATCAATCGATATTTTATCATAAGTAATATCACGAGAAGTGCTGTGAACTCCGGTTAATTCTTTACTCGTGATATTACTTATGATAAAAATATTCAGAATCTAGAAGTGACAGTAAGACATATTGTTGGGATGTTGTGATGCCTTCTTACTTCGCTCTTTCGACTAGTTTTATTTGATCCATCACTTCTTGAATCTAAATTAAACAATAAGTACATTTCATATAAATATCTCTTCACTTATCAAAAACTTCAAGTGCATTCTTTTGGGAATCACACGCTCGAGAAATGCCTATTGGAATGGCTCCTGACTGCCGACTGGAACAACGAGGCTGCAGTTCATGAATAACATTACCCTGAGAGCGAGTCCAACGGCTATTCTGTGTGTTTAACGTAACTTGTTAATTTATGGGCGCTGAGGAGGTAAATATTCGTACATGGTTTTGTATACATCGTCAAAGATCTTTGTACAGTAACAGTGTTTCTTTCTTTGTGCAGTACAGTGTAGCAGATGTTATGAGACAGAGATAAAGTGTGGCAGTGTAGCAAAAAAATCATGAATGTAGTTGGAGAAATACACCGTATACACACCACTCGTTTTTCATTGTTACTATTTTGAATTGTTGTCGCTCACAAAAATTTACTTACCTTGAGTTTGACATCGTTCATCCTGAGATGTTTCCGAACTAATAAGATAAACGTGAATACGCGCAATGAGTAAATTAAAAATGCAATTTAAGTTTACAGTGCGTAGTACCAACAGTAAATAGGAACGTGTCCAGTAATTAAACTTTTTTCGGAGAACAATCTAGCACCTTTGTTCGTTCTGTCAGATCATGAATAAACATGTCGAGTTCACACCAGCCATTAGCAAAACTGCTTCTGAAACGTGGTTCTACTGTTCTGATTTCCATGTCTCTCTCATGGCCATTTATGCTGAGCCTCGAAATAAGCGGACTGCTGGCGAGAGCCCGAAATTATGCATAACCGTGTTCCCATGGCAACCGTTCTGAAAGACACTGCCAGCCCGTCGGATGCCACAAGACTGAGAGCTAAGAGCACCTCGTTGTCTTTAGTTTCATAAACGAAAGCAGCTACTCAAAAATTAAAAATTGCTTTGGCGCCAACTAATATGATGAACTTATAAATGTATGGGGTTGAACTTATAAAATAGTTTCATATTTAATTGACTCCAAATACTGACAATAATGCATTCTAGAATTAATAAAACTAATTTATATGTTTTCCAATATAATTTATAAATTATCTTTAGACATTTATTTCGTTTTTGCTTGTAAAAGGTTCTTATTTCTAGCAATCAAATAGATTAGAAATAGCATATCCAACTTCATTATTTTATGATTATACACTATGGCGGCGAAATTATCACTTTCCAAACGATTAAAAGCGAGTACGGACTAATCGATACTTCGCATTTATTTAATTGTAGTCCAACTGGCAGTGTTCTCAAAATTTTACTTTTAAAAAAAGATGAAAAAGGATTGTAATGTTACGAAGTAGGTATTCATTTTCAAAATGTATTAGGAATTGGTAGTTATTCTTACTACCATTTCCTAATACATAGTAGACTTATGTACGTATGCAAGCCTTTCCACGGAGGTTTTTTTATCACCTTATTGATGTATATCGTTATTGACCATTAACTATGTTTTCGCAATAATTTCATTATTAACGATACTCGCGATTAATATCTTATCAATACTGGGTACTATCTAACGCGTGCATTCTTCAATAACATATCAAACTGTTTTTAAAGCACTCTTGGACATGACCCAATTTTCCAATTAGAAAATACATTATCGCGTTCAACGCATTTATATACTTTCGCGATACCGAAATACTACAGTATCACTAATCAAAAATAAAAGATGGGCTAGAAAAGACTGAAGATCTTCCGTGTATGACGGAAATAAACGGAATAGAGAGGAAGTGCATCTGGTGCAGCAATTTGCAGCAGTGGTCGTGGCGGCGCGGGCCGGGCGCGCACGCCAGAGCAGCCGCGTGCAGCCGTCGTGCACCGCGCAGCGCAGCGCAGCGCAACGCAACGCCACGCCACGCCACGCCACGCCGCGCCGCGCCGCGCACCCTCCCGCCCAGGCCCCGTGCGTGCGCGCGGCTCACGTGTGCGAATCGGTGAAGCGGGCGGCGGCGGAGGGGGCAGAGGACGGGGGCGGGAACTTTCGCGGGCAGCGGGGCGCGCTTCCCCCCACTCCGCCCCGCCTCGCGCCCCCCTCTCTGTCCGCCGCGCCCCCACCACGCCTCCCGAGACTCTTCGGACTTCTCCCACTCTCCCACCTCCTTTTTCTTCTCCTCCTCCGTCGTCCCCTTCCACCCTCCCAGCGCGCCCTAGCGTTTTTTCCTTCTCGCCCCAATTCTCTTCCCTTCTTTTCGTTTGCTACCGCCTCCCCCCTTCAGCTGCCGGCGATTATTCGCAATCCTCTTTTCGAGCGTCCTGCTTGTTTTGGGAATCGTCTTCCTGGCTGCCTACTCTACTCTAGTTTGTGCTGATCGCTATCTCCGCTTCGCAAAAAGCGGTTTTGAGGAAAGCGCAGCAGCGACATGTTATCAATCAACAATGGTCATTTTGTAGCGCACCGCCCTGAGGCGCGGGTGACTGGCGAGTGGCGAGTGGCGAGGCGAGACGAGGTGCGGCGCGGCGCGGCGCGGCGCGGCGAACGCCTGCAGGACGCCTGCGCGAGTGTGCCGCCTCCACTGTCTCGCGTTCGTCGCCGTGCATTGCGCGCGCTCTTCGTCCGGCGGACGGGCAGGACGGCGCGGGAGAAAAAGTTGGCCGCTTCTACTTCCATGGCACTGAACTTGCGCTTGCGTCCGTTTTGTGTTCCGCGTTTGTAGCGGATAGTGTGTCAGTCGTCGTTTGGGCTCGCTGTAATTTGCTCCATAGTCGCCGCCGCCTCGCCCCTCTTTTTGTACCTGCTTCATTTTCATCGCGAGTCGGCCCGAGTGCGCGCGGGGCGGTGTCGTGCATCCCAAGACTTGTAGTGCCGGCCTCGTATCCCGCCGGGTCAGTCGTTAGGCAGCAGCGCCAGCGCACAGACCCCGCGGCCGACGCCGCCCCGCGCGGGTGGTGAGTCGACTGGAAGCAGGACACGGCTCGCGCGAGTGCAGAGCGAGCGGCGGCGGCAGGCGGCGCGGCCGGCGGCCGGCGAGCGGCGCGCGCGCGCCGGACCCACAAACGCGGCGGTGAAAGAGCGCCAGCGCGCGGCGCATCGCGGAGTGCAGCACGTCCGCAAAGCGCGGCGGCGGCGCCGCGGCGGTCAAACAATGGTACGGAAACAATGCTTGTGGCGACTTGCGCGTGAGGCGCTCGCGCCGGAGGACGTGGCGCGATCGGCTCTGGCACCGCGTGACAGCGTGCGCTCGGAGTGGACTGATCGCCGAGGACGGAAGACGCGCTGTGACGGACACGGACATGCAGCCGTTGTGTGGGGTGTTTTTGGCGCGGGAAGAAGATGCCGGAACGGCGACGGGACCGCGGGTGCTGGCCTCGCGAAACGTTGTCGGAAAAACGAAAATGGACACATGAGTAGTAAAAAATAGCGCAAAAAGTGAGTCAGAGGGTCAGATTACAAATGAGCACGCGACTGCAGTCTTGGCAAGGCAGGGCGGAGGTGAGGGTTGCGGCGACGGTGGGGCTGGCGGGCGCGGCGGGCCGGGGCGGGCGGCGGCGGTGGGGCGCGGCCAGTATTCGGTCTGCTGTTCCGGTGCCGGTGGTTCACTAGTCAGTTGTTCGTGAGCCGTCTTGGCGGGCTCACAGGAGGCGGCGCGCGCCGGGCCTGCCGCGTCGGTCGGCCTTGTTCGGGCCGATCCGCTTCGCCCGATCCATATCCGAAAAGGTCATTAGTGGAGTAGCGGAAGTGAATACAAGGGTAGGGCCTATACAATATTTTTGGTGGGGAGGGGTTGGAACGGAGGGTGGGGGAAGAACGAAAAAGCGAGAGAAAGGAGATGGCAAGAGATTTTCAACCGGGTCGATCGAAGCGAAAGAAATCGAACAACAATAGAAAGAGTATTATTTGTTCGTGCTGTGACTGTGCATTGTTAACAAACGTATTAAGTACGTGTGTTTGCGTTTTGTGTTGTTTATCGGCAGTTTTCGATATTTAAAGTACCGGAGTTGCGCTGCGCCGTGGTGGGGAGGACCGGCTGCTCGCAGTCTCTCCCCTCCATCCTTCGCGATCCCCCCACACGCTCGCCGACCAGTCGTTCCGCTAAAGATCGCATCGAAGACGCGGCAAAAGGCGGTGCAACGTGTTGCGTCATGAGGGACGTGACGTCACACTTAGGGTGAAGCAAAAATGGCGGAGTGCTCGTATGCTCGTTGCGTTCAGGAGCGCCGAGCAATCAAAAAAGAGCTGCAAAGATGGACGAAGAATATGGTTTTCGTTGTAGGTGAGTTAGTTATATGTTGTAGAATAGTAAGAAGATTCATCCTGTGTATTTCCTTGCTTCATGTGCGGGAAAAAATTAAGGTGTTTGCGACCTGTTGCCAAAAAATCCCTAAAACAAGGTTCAGTAATTCGGCAAGGGGTTATGATTGCAATTCCTGCGTGCCCCCCGTTGCATTCAGTGTTATGACGAGTGACGGTGCGGCTCGACGACTGTGTACTACCTAAGTTGTGTATTAAGTTACGCCGTTTAAGAGGTTTTCTCTTCGTGTGTACACGTGTTTTGTGGAAATTTGTTGGTGTTTATGTGCGACGACGAGTTAAATATCAGCTGGTGCAGGGGGTTGAGCGTTGTGCCTGGAACAGCGAGGCCTACTTGTCATCGACTTAGTACGTAACTGCTTCTGCCATGACCCACCGCAATATTCGTGAGGTAAATACTAGGAGAAAATGGAAAAGTAGGTGAAGACTAATATATTGTGTTGAATCTGAAAAGCTGTTAAATGTTAAGCGTGTGCTGTGTGGCGAAATATTACGTTCATATGCTGGTGTCATGAAGATAGCTTGCTACGCGCTCTTTGAGTGTAGTTACCCCGAAGTTCCGCTGCTTTGCGAAATGCACTGCGGTTGCAGTTGTTCTCCGTGCATCGGAGCGGCGTTGCAGTTTCGCTTGCACGTTGCACCGAGGAACTGCGGACACGATGCTGCCGTTTATAACATTTTTTTCATTTTATAATCGCTATTTTCATATGTGCGTTTATGAAGCTATATAATTAACTTGTCAAAATGTCAAATTGTGAAAATTCATATAAGCGGAGATGACATTTTATATTCATATATATTTTTTTTAATATCTCGTAACCAAAATGCTTTAATAATCATTTTGATTTTGTGCAAATAAATATGTGTCAGTAGGTGAGTTAAATTATTATTCGCATTTACGTCTGTGCACTCGACGTAATGCGATTATGTAGTAGGTGGTATTTGAATACTTTTGAAATAATTTATAATTTGTGATATAGAATTTAAGTAATTAATACTTCCACTTTGCAATTTTTGTATTAATATTGTGGTGTCGGACAGCTCGTGTTGTTAAAATTCGCGAATAGCGCTAACACGTTGACATTTCATGAATAGAAAACTGATTGACGTGCCAGAGGAAGTCTTTATTTAAATTGATTTTAGTTCGGCTATTGTTCGGTTTGGGATAATTTTTAGTTGTGATACGGCAACATTAACCAAAATTGCTTTTACGTGTATAAATGTTTTTTGATAATTGCTGAAAATATCGGAAATTCGCGACCGAAGTGTGAAATAGTGACCGTGAAAAATTAATTATTTTACAAATTTTCTTACAACAAAAATTGAGTAATATTATTTATGTAATTTTGATTAATTTTAGTTATGTACTCATTCTATGGTAAATTACGTTAAATTCATCGATTTCTCCGCGTGTCTTTTTCCTAGATTTAGCAAAGTATGCGCCTTTTTTCAATAAACTAAATGAAAATTGTGAAATTTATTACTTTAAAATTTCGAATTTAAGAATACATGAATATGCGAGAGGAGGTCTTTCTTTTTTCTTGAGAGATGTACAGTGATAGGCAAGGATAGTGATGATTACAATATTAATGAGCTTCTTTTAAATTTTATCTCACATAATGTTAAGAATAATATTTGTTTGTATTTGGCAGCATTAAATGTGATTTGCTTATGTCTGTCTCATAAGGTTTTCATTCAAGATTGGTTGTGTTTTGGTCACATACAAGTATTAGTTTGTGATTAATCGTTTCAAGTTTAGATTATATAGATTTTCTAGAGTACAATTTCCATAAGAATTTTTGTATATTAAAGAATTTTTAATGCTTTAAGTATGAGATATTAGAAAAAAATTGTAAAACAGGGTGAAATCTCAAAAGATTAGATGTGTAGATTCTAAGCTCATCATTCTACTCTAAGGTCATCCTAAAGCAGAATCATAAGTTTGTAATGTATAAACTTTTATAAAAGAATCAGAAAAATCTTTTGAATGGAGAATAAACATTTAAATTTGTTTTGCAGGTTTAGAAAGGGTTGCTGAAGAGTTGATGGGAAGAAGAAAATGGAGACAATACCAAGATGTATTTTTAAGAAGTCGCCTTACTGCGGAGGCTGAACCAGAGACTTCAGATTGGGAGCCACAAGACAAGTGCTGCTTCTGCGATGGAGGCTCATTTTTAGGCTCAGCTCCAGTGAGTTCACTATCTTTTCTAGTTGTCAGTGGAAAAAATAATTATTTTTTAAAGAAGAAAATTTGAGTAGTGATCTGGCAGTTAGTCAAATGTTTGTCCCAAGTGTAGCAAAAAAAATTCTATTATCACATACTACAATTTTATTGTATTATGTTTATGTTTAATCTTGTTAAAAATGGATACTTTTAATGGATATGAGCTGTGAATAAAATTACCAGTTAACTTTTTAAATTATTGAAGTTTCATGTTGAGCATTTAATTTAATATTAGGATGCCAAAGTTAATTAAATATAGATAAATTTGACAGTGTGTGAACTTTGGTACTTTCAGAGTCCTGCATCAGACAGTGGCAGCAGTACGAATAGTCGAAGTAGTTGCCGGGAGACCCCACCTGCATCATCTGATGGTCAGTCATCTTCTGCAGCTCATGTATCTTTGTCTCCATCAACAATGACTACCCTTGAGTCCGTCACCTCAATAACAGCATCACTAGCAGCTGTTGCTGCTCTGAGTGTCAATTCTACAAATGTGTCCTCCGCCAGTTCAGGAGCCAGTGCAAACCCCTCTTCGGCGGCCATGTCCATCTTTCCTCCTACAACCCCACACACAGGACTGTTTCCACATTGGTACATGTCCCCTCCACCTCCACATCTGGCTCCCAATCTATCGTTAGACAGAGTTCCACCTGCATCCAAACAAGAATCGCCCATACCTGCAATGGTGATGTCGTTACCAGCGTCAACTGCATCAGAGCAGCCTCTTGACCTCAGTGCCAAGGCCTCGTCCTGCATGACTCCACCAGTTGACAACAGTACAGTCCTGTGTGCAAGGAGCCCCACGCCCGACCCATCTTTGAAGGTGCCAAGTGTTATCGACAAACACATCTTCAAGTGAGTACACATCGCCTTTCTAAAAGTGCCTTGTAAATATCATCTTAAAATTTACTAAATGTTTATTAAATTCAAGATTATCACAAATTAATGTTAAAAAAATTGTGAGATTTTAATCAATTTTTCTGATTAATAATTCAGATTCACGTTATAGCTTTGATTCCTTTGGGAAAAGAAGTTTGTTTTTGCTTCAGAATCATTAATTAATTTGTTTATTTTCTGCGGACTAATTTGATTCTGTTCACAAATGCAAAAAAGACAATATTATTCCAAGTTGAATTGTGTAACCTTATTTTAAAATGTGAGTGTACAGATTTTGTTTCTTGGCTTTCAACTATTTTGTTTTATGCAGTGAAAGTGTGAAGTGAAATAATTTTTCCTGAAAAATGTCAATTATTTAAAATTTATTTATTTATATATAATATATATATCAGTTTAATTAGAAAGTTTTCAATTTACCCAAAAATTGCACTGATGAAATTTGCCTAGAAGTCCTATAATTTCAGTACAAACTATGTAATTTAGTTTCATATTGAAAAGTTTCAATGTTAATTTTTCCCCTGCGCTTGTTCCTGACACCTATAGGGCAAAACCTCGAATGAGTGCTGTAGCTGGTCGCAGGCAATACACTGAAGAAGAACTTCAAGCTGCTTTACGTGATATTCAAAGCGGCAAACTGGGCACAAGACGAGCAGCAGTCATCTACGGCATCCCCCGATCAACCCTACGTAACAAAGTTTACAAACTTGCCATGGAACGTGAGCGGGACATGCAACTGAACCCCATTGCCTTAGTAGACAAGGCTTTGTTACCACCAGTTGTGGCCCTGAAAGATGAAGAAGATGGTAAGGAAGAGGATGAAGACGAGAAGGAGCTTTCTGGTGCTGAAGAGGAAAGAGAAGTGGAGAAGGCGCTTCGCAAACCCCTTCTATCAATGGAAGATCTTGTAAGGTTTTCTATGCTGGAAGGAATGACAGCAGAGTCTTTGCGAGCTTTGTTGCAACATGGGAAGTTCCTGGAGGACAAACGAGGTATCATAGAAAGAGATGATGGAACACCATCACCAACACTTCCTACTTTTCCAAGCACTGCTGATTTTTGGCAAAACTTGGAACACAGTGCATTAGGTCCCTTTATATCACAAATGTTGGCAAACAGTGGAGGACAAAATAGAGATTTATCATCTGTCATTGGGAACAAAAATCCAGAAGGAGGAATTTCCACAACTCCTAGAGAAAATAGCCCAACCAATATAGCAAATGACTTCCTTCCCAAATTCTCTTCTCCTCTCCTTCCAGAACTCGTTCGTCGAATGATGGCAGAAGATGAGCAAGTGAGGAAGTCCAGAACAGTTGCGCATTCAGCTGAAGTAAACTTTTTAGTGAATGGTGCTCATTCTGATGAAAACTTCAGTAAACCGGAAGAAAAGGGAAAGGTGGGGAAGCCATTGGGGCTCCTCTCTCCGTCTGTGATAACCCGATCAGATATGAGCAGAGCTGAAGCTGAGGAGTCATCGGATGCAGATGCATCTGCAACGAGTGGACCTTCTGGAATGGCCACCCCACCCAATGTGATACTGAAAATTCCGTCCTTCAAACCAACTTCAAAGAATGGAGTGGCTGCGTCTGGAACACCAGGCCTGCCTTCAGAGACATTGCCATTCACGCATGGTGCGTTTGCACACTCCAGCTTAACACCAGAGTCTAGTCATCATTTGTCCATGTCTGTACCGCTGGGAAGTGGAGGTTCAAGGAGTAACCATAGCGATTCATGTTCTCCTCCCATACCCAATTTGTCTGGAAAAGGGATAGGGGTCAGTCTGCGAGATGTTATAGCCAAAAGTATCAGCCAGAAGTTTCAGCAGCAAGGTGCTGATATATCTCATTTACCTCTGTCCCAGAAACTTCTCTTACCTGGAGATGGAGGTGATCAGCCTCCCTATAAACGTGGCCGTTTTACACCACCTGTTGGCTGCAACCCATCAGCAATAGCTGCTTCAGTCATCAAGCATAACAATAACAATACTCATTCCGATGACAAAAATAAAACTAACACACCTTCATCCAAACCTGCCACAAGTGGTACCAGTACCAGCACTACCACATCAGGGGGCAAAGGTACTAGACCCAAACGTGGCAAGTATAGAAATTATGACAGAGATAGTTTAGTAGAAGCAGTTCGCGCTGTACAGAGAGGCGAAATGAGTGTACACAGAGCTGGATCATACTATGGCGTGCCCCATTCAACCCTTGAATACAAGGTGAAGGAGAGGCATTTAATGAGGCCCAGAAAGCGAGATCAGAAGGCACAAATGGATGGGGTGAAACCAAAAGAGGAAAACATCAAAAACACTCCTCCTGCAACAACAGCTTCTGTTGCAGTAACTCCATCTATTACAGTTGCTGCAACAGACAAGTTGAAGACTCCTCCAAAACCTCATAAGCCTTCTTTCACACCAAGTTCCCCCTTACCTACTGCACCAAATGGTTTGAAAATTCCCCCTTTGTTTGATCCTAGCTTATCTCATCTAGCTTATACAACACCGCCTCCCTTTCCTTTCTGGCCACCTTCTCCCTTCCATGCTTCTCTCCCATTGCCGGACTTCGCTCGTTCTGGGAGTGCAAGCAGTGGTTTCAATCCTGGTTCAGAGCACTTCTTTGCATCTCAAATGATGCAACGGTTGCAAGAGGAGTCTTCACGAGTACATGGGAATTCCAGCCCAGGTGTCTCGTCTGCTGTTCGAAGTCCTCCTGTTGTGAATCCTAGTAACACATTGGGAAAAAGTGCACGAGAGATGGCAGAGAGCCTCTATGATGGCACTGGAGCAAATGGGAGCTTCTTAGATGGCATAATTCGATCAAGTTTAGAAATGGGACTTCCTCCAGGAACACTAAAGGATGGTGTAAATAATGCAACTAGTGAAAAAATTACAGCCCCTGAAAATCTATCCAATAAAGCACTTCTGGACCAACTGTGTCGAAACAGCCGTCTTGCACCTCTTCCCCGACCTAGTACACAGAGTCACAACAGCTCAGACGATGAATCGCTGAAGCAGCCTTCCGAATGTGGTAGCACCAGGTCTACAGCTGAAGTGTGTTCTGCAGCTGTGGTGGATCTCTCTTCAGCAACAAGTAGCCAGACAGAAGGAGAAAAGAAACCTGTTGTGGAAGAGGTGGGTCTTAAATCACCAAAACCTGACAACACCAAGGAGAAATCATCAGATGATGAAGATGATGTAAAACCACTTTCTTCAAAAGAAGCAAATGGATTAAGTAATCTTAAAGATGATCCAAATGACAATGTAAGTGCCTGTGATAGTATGTCTAATTTAAAGAGAGTGAGTGATATTGATGCTGCCAAAGACTTACAGCAAGAAGAAGGGGGATCTGATGACCCAGAAACACAGGAGGATACCAAATCAAATAAGATCAACTCATAAAGAGACTGATTCATTCTGTTCTAGTAACTGTTAATTAGCATGTTATATACATAGTAGGAAGCAAGATGTTATGTGACAGAATTTTATTATATTATATTTAAGGTGTACCTTATTTTTAATCATATTGCTGTACTGATTTTTGTAGGTGTTGAATGTTGTAATTTTGTCAACTGGGTTGTTTTTCCTTTTCCTATACATAGTAACTTTTTTAAGGATGTTCTTTTGTGTAAAAAAAAATTGTACACCTTTGCAATTTTTTCTCTCTCTCTACTTCCCAGTTGAATGGGAAAATAATTTTTCTTCCTTCATACTTTTTAATGATATTATCTCTCTGTACTCTTTTTGAGGTTGACAATCGTAATGTTGCCAAAGCTAAGAAATGTGGAATGCCCTTATATTTATGGAATTCGATAATAATTTATCTCTTTTATATATATAGTAAGGGTGTTTTAAAAAGAAATTGTTGGAAAACTTAACTGTATACATTCGTGGTCACTTTTTTAAGATAATATATATTATTTTTTTTAAATCCAACCAAAAACGTTCTGTGGAGTTTTCCCAAGATATTTATCAAAGCAGTTTCTTTTGTCCTTGTCAGAACTATTCTCAATGTAAAAATTAATATATACTCGTGTGTGTCATTTTTCAAAATTGTGTGTTTACTAAAATGGAATGCATGCCAACATTTTTTATGATAATGTTATTCTGATTGATGTGGATGCATTTGCGTTTGTTTTTCATTCCGGTTGCTTGACTGTTTGTATTTTGTTCAAGTGTTTGAAAATTTGACTATTTCAAATTAAGCATAGTAGAAATGGGATGTTCAAGTGAGAGCATTTAACTTGCCTTGTATTTCGATTTATTTCATTTACAACAAAAAGACTACACAAGTATGGAAAAACACATACAATGCAAAATTTGAGACTGAGTAGTTAAGTGTACCGATTTTAGATATGTTGTGATACTGGATCAGATGATTGTTCGGAAATATTCTGGTATTCTCAAAACTAGGTTGATTGTTCCATTCACTTCAAAATTTCTCCCTGTAAAAGTTAAACATATTTGATAAGGAAATTTTACGTTTAAGAAATATTGTATTTGACTAATTAACTTTAAATAATTGGATTTTGTTTGGTTTGTTAATTTGAATTTTGTCTAGTCACAAGTTTGTTTTCAAATTTGCCAAACACTGTTTGTTGTGGGATGCGTTGATAAATATATATAGATATTATAGATACATAGTATATTTTGTTTGTCGTTGCACTAATGATTGCATTGATATTGTGGAAACAACTAGTCTGAAGAAACTGACTTATGTAGTGGTCACTTTTTAAAAAGAGAAATGATTCACTATTTTTATATTGCCAGCTGGAGCTGTTAAATGTTAAATTGTCATGAAATCTCTACTCTGATCAGATCAGAATATTTTCAGAACTCCTTGTTGTAGTAACTGTATTATTATGGTCTTAAACATCTAATGTAGTCCATATTAAAAGAGGAGTTTTGGTTCTAAATTTTTATCAGAAAGTTTATGTACTGTTTTATTTGTGTCTATGCTAAGAATGTGATTAATTAAAGACTTTATTTGTTTTTACTGTTTTTGTTCTAGAAGAAATTTATTTTTTAGATGTTTTCATTTATGACTAGGAAATAAAAATTAGGAAGTGAGTACATTTTTGTAGGTGTGTAGCTAGATCTCATTTTTAAATTTATTTTTGGGGTTAATATGTTTCATGGTCTAAAAGGCCAAAGCTGAATTGTCAATTATTAAAATGAGATATATGCCAGACAGTTCTAGAGTTTTATCATCAATGCCTTTCTCAATAGTGCTTGTGAATTAAAATGATGCATCAGTATTGGATATTAGTTCAGAGTTGTTAAATATACTCTGTTGGGATATGGAGTGTATTTTCACTCCTTTGATTGTTTAGGACAGCTTCCTAAGTGAGTTTTGGTCCAAGAGCCAGAGTGGCTTGCCTTATAGTTTCTATGTAAATGAATTGAAATTATCTGCTCTCACTTGAATTTCTGTGTTAGAAATTATGAATATTACTAAACTAATGTCTTTCTTAAAAATATACATTATATATGACAGACTGCTTTGATGTTCAATAAAATGTTTTAAAAAATAATTGTAAAAAAGGAAAAAAAGAATCTTGGGATTCTCCAAGAATTTTACTTGTCTGTGATGAAGCCAAATTTTGAATGTATATTTTCTCTATCAATATCTTATATAATATACTAGACTAGTTTATATAATGAAGAAAAACTTGGATTTTTTGTTTGACAATTGAAGTGCAATTAGAAATGGTATGACCTTAATATATACATACTGTGCGTATATATATTTACAATTTATATATGTTCAGCAAAATGAAGTTATTTTGAAACTAAAAGAATAGCATCAGATCAAAGTGCATCAACAGCAGCAGAAACAGAATCCGACCACTAACTTTTAATTACAACTACAGTATACTTTCAGTACAGCAGTTGACATGGAAGTTTCTGAATGAAAGTGTCATGGCTTTCTGTAAAGAAATCCTACTTAAAAAAAGTAGCATACCTTTAATTTTATGCTCATAGTGCAACAGTTTAGCAGAATGTATGTTGTTTCTCGTTAGGAAAAGGTTTCTGATACACTTAGTACCATGTGAAAACTGCACTATAATATATTTTCTGCATTTAGGTAAATGTTGGAAATTAATTATGCCTACATAAACACACTCCTGTACATTCATGTTTGAGTTGGATTTCCTTACAAAAGTGTTGACACATTTGGATATTTTAGTTCTTAATACAACAGTTTTTCAAGAACAAACAGACCGGAAGAGGACTAGTTTGGTTTTTCAATCATCCAGCCTTTTCACATCATTGTACAGTTGCAAACATCTCCATGATGTTTCCATAGCATTACTGGACACCCCCTTGCATGCCCTCCCTTCTCCATAAAGCAGAAAGAGAACAATTTTTAAACATTCCAACAGATAATGTTCCAGAGTTTTTCTGAGAAGAAAAGTTGCGATCTCAAGCCAGTAATTTTTAAAGATGCAATGTATGAACTGTGTACATGTGAACTGATTAGGAAGAACAGGCAGATGATCCGACGCATTTTTGCGTTATGTACTGTTTTAGTGATTAAATAGTGAATTGGAAGCAGAGCTTCCATCAAGCTTTATTATTATAATATGCTGAAGAGCATTTCTGAAATGTTCCAGAAGATTTTTTTTTAATATATATGTGAGATGAACTTTCGTCTCGTGTGTGGTAGGAAACGTTCTATAGTGCAATGCTATGAAGATGTTGAAATTAAGTTCTTTTTTATTGTGGTGTAAAGAATCTTCGCTTGGTTTTGTGTTGATATTGTGATATTTTTCATATATTAAAAACTTTTTAAGTGAATTTATAATAACTCGTGTGAAGTGTTTTAACTTGAATATTTTTCTCGAAAGCACTTTCTTTACCCCAACATTGTTTGATTTCCACAAAAGTATAAGACTGGCATTAGATTAACATCATTGTTCAATTGATCAATTTTTTTTATTTCTTATTTTTTTTAATTTTTGGTTTCTTGATTTGTATTTCATTAAAGCTCAGCAGCAACTAAAAAAGATAGGTGACCAAGGAATACATATACAAGTCAGTGGATATTTGTCGTATTTCAGCTTCCCAGTTTACATTCATATTGCCTTTGTGATGTAAATGTCCATAGCCCTGTATAAATAACTTTATAACCTGTATATATGTTGATATTTTGAACTTGTGTAGTTTGAGATGAATTTGTGTGAATGTTTGTATTTGCTTCTCAACCAAACACACATAAGTCATAATTGAGTTGCTGAAAAACAATATTCTGTGTCTTGCATTCTGTAGAATCTGTCAGTAAACTGGGAATCTATAAAATAATAATAATATTAATAGTAATTTTTAAAAAAATTAAATACGTTAAGTTACCTTTGTAATGTCACAATCGTGTGTGGTAGTGACTTAACATATGTTCAGTGGTTATGTAAAATTCATTTTGATGATTTTTACACAACTTAGTTGTGTGCATTGGATCTAGACTCTGGTCACTAGTTGTTGCTGAGATAGATTATAAATAGAGATAGTGTGATTGGGGTGATTCACATGTCATTATCACATTATGTTACATATTGTCTGTTTCATTCCTTTACAGATCTAATGTAGATGCCTTTTAAGTATAAGATTACAGTACACGAATTAACTTTGTACATTGATATCATACAAAATACTTGTGTTCAAGCCCTCTTTCTGAAGCCAGACAAGTTGTGGAAAAGGGGGGCTTTATATAGATATAATCCGTCTACCCCTGTTAATTCAATATATGCCCATTACAATATAGTTTTCCCCTGTTGAATGCACTATGAAGTTAGTGGAGTGCTCCTTAGTTTAATGTGCATATTACTGCATCGTACATTTTTTAAACAGAACATTATAGTACTACTTGTATATTATCATATTATAATTTGCAATTTTCTGTGTTGTCTCCTTTCCCCATAAATTGGAATCATTGTTTTACACAACATAGGAAGCTGCTTTCAAACTCCAAACTATTTTATTTTTTTCCCTCCGGTTATTGCATATTACCATTACCCATTATAATAGTACCATTAAGCTGTTTGTTGTTTTTTCTCTTTCACTCTGAGGAAATTTTGAAACAGAGTTATTTATGTACACTGGTATAGACATGTTGTTAGTGATATGATACAGCTTGGTATTATTTGATAGGAAAATGTTGAAAGCATATGGGATTTTCTATTTTTTATCACACAATATCCCAGATATCATTTCATGCTGTTGTATGCATAGTACATTAAAAATAATGGATTTGCAGGTATCAACATGCCAGTGTATTAGAGTTGGTATATTTTCCATTGAATCTGATTTCAATTTTCCCCCAGATAGGTTGTAAAGGTATAATACATCAGTTATGGAAAATAAAATGTGAACTGCAAATGACCTTGTATCATATTTAATAAATTTCTGACATTTTCAGCAAACCCATAATCTAAATGAAGCTTGAGAATTACAGTAACATATCATTTTCATCTGCAGAATCCATAACTAGAAAGAACTTTCAGGGTCACTGCAATATTTCATTTTCCATTCTGAATTCTCTTTTTTTATATCCGTAATAAAACCGTCAGTTACATACAGCTATTTGGCTTATTGACATTCTTTACATAATACCATTATTACTATTATGAAATTATAAAAAATTCAACCTGTATATATCAATTCCGCACTTGACTGTTGTGTGCATGTACTCCATTGTTGCAAATTTTTAAAACATTCAAGAGTATTTTTAGCCAAAAGCGATTCTAAGGAAGATCACAAGTCTGATGAATAATTCCACCCCACTTGTCAAACATGGTAGAAGACGTTCTTGTTCAATTTTTTTCTTTGGCATTGTATTAAGTGCAAGCCATGGTGTTGGGACCAAAAATGTTGTGGTTTCGCTTATGATAAAAGTGAACATTTTGTGCAAAACATTCCAGTTATGTACATAAAACATTTAATTCTATCTATTTTGAAATGTCTCGTTTTTGATGTTATTAAACTTGAAACTAATTTTGAAGAACCTATCTTTAGGCTGAAAAATGTATTATCTCGTTACTAAGGAGATTTTCTTTAATAAGTCAATCAGTTTTGTTTTGTCTATAATGTGTCAATCAGTTTTTTGTTATCAAGATGCGTCTTCTCCATGTGTGACCAATAGCATAGTTTGATTTCTCTATTCATTCCAAACCACAGTAATTGCAAGGTATATAAAATTGAAACTGATATGGGCATAAATATCTGAAAAATGTTCAAATATGTTATCTATTTTTCTAAATGTTATCAATGTTAGCATTGACCGCCAATTGTATAAAGACTTTCACTTTTCATTTACACATGCTTGATTGTGTGAGAATGTGTGTATGTATGTCTGAATGAGAAAATTTGTTGTTGGTGATATCAAACTTTCTTCCCTTGCAATTTATTTGTATGCTATATAAAAGATATGGTGTGTTTTTATTTAATTCTACATAGTGATGAGGAAATACTTGTTATGTTTGAGTAGCCTGAAATACTCCGAAGTGAGTATTGCCTAATATAGCTGGGGCAGTTTTACCCAATTTTACAGAGAAAAATGTTGAAATCTTCAATTTTTAAATCGTATAAAAACAGTTTACCACTAATCTCCATTGTAAAAATATGAACTGGTTGTATTTGTGTAATTGACTTGCTTGGTTCCACTGTATGAAATCACTATTTCACTACTAGTGTCTATCAGGATGAAGTAAGTTGACTGTCGCATGTCAGATTATGAAGGAAGACCTTAAAAGTTCACAATTGCTTTTGTTAAAAAACACCAGTGAAATTAATTATCAACAAAAGGGGATATATAAACTATGGTTTGAAGTTTCAAACAGTTGGAACTAAGTGTGTCTTTGAAACATTGTGAATTTTTAAATACCAAAGTGTCTTGAAATATATTATTTACTTATAATAAATTTTTCACAAGTTGAAAATGCTGTAGAATTAGTTGTTTTGACATTCTAATTACTGAAGCCTTAAACATTTTCCCTCAATATAGTCATGATTGCAGTGTTATCATATTCATAAAGATTAATACTTGAATCTGGTGTTGCTAAATGTTTACATCAATTTTTATGAGAAAACTTGCTTAATACCTAAATATTTAAAACAAACTTAATTGGTGATTTCTAACTGGCGTACATATGTTAATGGACTGGCATTGATACAAAATTTGAAATTTCAAAATTTCAAATTGCATGTTACTTCAATATATTGGTTGTGAACCGTGGTGAGCATGGCCCATGTTACATTTTCAAGAAATTACAGTACCTGTAGGATTTTCATGTGATGTATTTTTGTCAAAGTAAATTTTGGGCACCAGGTATTTTATTTGTAACTTTGGACATCAGTTTATACATGTTCTTGCCAAATCAATTGTGTCCTTCTTACAGTGTAAAAGTGAATCTTGCAATGAATGTAAAAATAATTGTTTGGATTGAGTTTTGTCTAAGCACAAAAATGTGAGCACTCGTTTCTATTTTGGGATAGCATAAAAACTTGTGTGCAAAAGACTGCTCTGTAAGGATTTGCTTGACTTAAACAATATATTGTCATGTTCAGGCTCTGAATTGAAAGATCAGTGGAAACTGAAAAATTCCTCTTAACAGAGGTTATTGTATTGTTATGTTTAATATGAAATATAATGTGACTTCTCGCTAAGTGTCTTTTAGCTTTGTGGTAATACTGTGTACCAAGACCATTGCCTCTCTCCTTGTAAATGCGAATTTCATCTTAATAATGACCTGGTTCAATTTTTTACTGCAACTTCTTTCTTGAGCATGCTATATTTTGACCCCTTGCCATTCTTATATGTATAATGTGGTTGTAATTTGACTGTACTGATTTTAATTTTAAGATTTGTAAAAATTGTAACTATTCTTTAAATCTTGTATATTAGCTGTATTTTACATATCAAAATTGGAGCTAAAATTAAGAATGATGTGATGTTAATTATCTAGTCTATTGTCAAAAATTGTCATCCCTTCAGAATGTACTTTATTCCGTATAAAGTGAAAATTTCACATTATTTATTTTCATATTAAATTGAACCAGTAAGGGATGATGTCTATTTATGGTATACAAATAGATTTCCAATGTTAATGCAAATTAATTTTTTGTTCAAAACCATTGATTGTCCATGGCTGACGCTTACATTGAGATAAATGGAAAATGTGTGTTGTATTATGTAACAGCAAAGCAGTGTCAGCCATTTGATGAAAGGATTAAAGAAGGTATCTGTGCCTGTAGTTGTTTTATAAAATTATTGATTAGGTTGTGATATGGACATTTTTATTGTCTTGTTTTGAGGGCTGAGGATTTTTCTTTTCTTTCTAGTTTGAGGTTAAAAAATTAAAAAGTGTACTGTTTGTGAGGAAAACTGAAATGATTGATAGTACAATTACGTATATTGCAAATCATATGTAATATGATCTCCAACTTAAAAGAAAGGAAAGAATTGTGATCGACTCCCGTTTCCTCAGTGACGAGAAATTCCAACACAGTAAACGTTGAAATACTTTGTGAACATGATTAGCACCTGGATTAGTCTTACAAAATCATGTAAAAATTCATAATGTGTGGAGCAATTCGTAAATAATCTAGTAAAGTTTAAATTTATAATGAAAATTAATATTTTTTTCCAATATATCAAATAATTTTTGTTAAATTTTCACTTAACTCAATCTTCTGAAAGAATATCGTTTTAATTGTATTATTTTGTGTAATTAATTACTATTCAAAAGTTAATTGGAAGTAAGAACTTGGAAAAACATCTTGTAAATTCTGTACAGCTGGGTGCTAAGGTGTTCAAAAGTTTTAATATCTTGAAAAAATTAAAAGACTGAGTTTTTGCCAGTATTGCTTATTTGTTTTCTTTTATAAAATGTATGTATATGTAAATTATTTGATGACATAAAATCAATTGAACATGTTATTAAAATTAGTAGTATTTTTGAGAACACAATATGATAGTGTTGGAATGGAGTTTTGAGAATTGTTTTTCCATGCATGCCATTTGTGGATATATTTTCTAATTCATGTGTCTTATGTAATATATCTACCTAGATTTTCTCAGTCTTACTCAATTTTACACTGCGGTTCCTGCTCTTCACTGTTCAACACTCTTTGTTTCTATAACACTAGAGTCTGTTCCATATCTTTTTCAAGTATATACATATATCCTTGCTATGTGGGACCAAAATGTCATATAATTCCATTGTAACTAATCTTTTTGAAAACAGCAATTAAGTATCACACTGTCACCATCAAGTAAAGAAAATGTATTCAGAGATAAACGGTTTTAAAATGTGTACAATGCATATTATCAATTAAAGTTGTTAAATGAAATGTTTGCCTGCTTAATACCAATACACATGATTGTATACATCATTCCAGTTTTTTGACAATATGTAACAATAGCAAGTCAGATAAAAAAGCCTTTTTGATGTTTTTCTCTTCTCCAAAACAGCCTATCCAATTTTGTTGGATCAAGGCTTCCCCAAGATTATATAATCAAAATCACTGTTGATTCCAGAATAACATATGCGTATCAGTAAAAGAACCAAAGGTTGGTTAACAAAATAGAGAATGCTGTTTTAAAAATATTTATGCCTTGTTGAGTGGAAGAACAAGAAATTATGAAATTATTCACATAATGTCAGTGTCCTGCGTTCGATGGATTTTAAAATGAAAATACGATAAGCTGCCATGTATTGGTGTTGCAAAAGCTGTGTTTTGGATCATGCCTGTGGGAAGTGTTATTTTCAGAGAATATTAAAAATGATTATATTGTATATTTATATTGTGACTTTGGAGTAAACCAGTATTTATTACTGTCACATTGTGTATTTCATTGATTTATTATTAGATTAGCATGCAACCTAAACTATAAATCTTACAAAAAAATGAGTTAATATACAAGTTCGTTTTTGCTTGTCCAAATATAACGATTAAATTACCACAGATTAAATTAGTCCATCTATCCTTCCCCCAAAAGCATATTACCAAACTAACATAAAATTTGTTGGATAACCGTACAACATTCCTGCCAATGGTAAAAATATAGTTTATTTAGATTAAGCTTTAGACATGGAGTATTTCAACATACTTTGGAGAAAAAAGTGTAAGAGCCAGTTTACTTGCTCGCTAACGCGGAGGAGAAAGTTAGGTAATCCTGCGCGAAAAACTGCGCATTTTCGGCAGAAAAACTTAACAGGGCCGTGGCAACAAAAAAGTTAAACCCATATGTTAAATTTAGAAAAGAAAAAAGTATCCTTCAACAAGTGGTGTAGCTAGAATTCATGTTTTCTGGGTCCATGATACTGAAAAATCGATTGACCGCAAAACGTCTGGCCCTCTGATGTAGGCCTACATGAAATGCATTGACGCCTAAACGATTTTTTCCAAACTTCCCCTTTCGATCTGGCTTGAGTCGAAGCTCTGTGATTTTGAATAACATTGATTAATTTTTGGGGGTACTTTGCATGAAGCCCTTGAAACATTTTCAAAATGTTCTCAAAAAAGCTCCAAATTTATTCTTTAAATTTCTTGTAAGAATAGAGTAATTGTAAAGATGGCTAAGTTCTGATTTTTCCTGTTAACTCTGAATTTTCGATAATTGCAAGAGTTTTGAATTTTTTCGGCGTCTTCCTACAACTAGAAAATTGAAGATAGAAATTTTTTCTTCAAATGAAATTGGTTCTCCATAATTAGTTCTTTCAGTAGGGTCATACACATTTTGTTGAAAATTTTTGTAGTTTACGTGCAATATTGCGTGTAATATTTGCAGTTTAAAAAATAACTAAAACAAGATTTTTCTTAAAACATTTGGTAGGGATAGTACTAAATATGCTGTATTAGATGACATAAACGCCATATCGCTCTATTCTTTAATTTTTAAAAGATTACAAAAACGTATTTTAATAGCTTCTCACGTCGGTATTATTTACATTAGTGGCGATTTGTTCACATTATTATATTTATACCTAAAAAGTGTTCATGCAATCTCAAAACCGTTCTATAAAAATGAGCTCAAAATTCCGTCATTTCAAAGAGGCTCGAACACCAACCTCTCAAAACCTTCTCCACATATTTTCTTCAAATTGGAAAAAGTTAACATTTGGAAACTATTAAATTAAATATTACATGCTTGATGTTACATCTGGCGCGATATTCTTGTGCGAAGCATGACCCCGGGACATAATGTAGAATAAATGACAAGACGGCGTTGAAAACCACAATTATAGAGAATGGGCCAGTTTCTCTATTGACAGCAGCCGAAGTGGTCGGTGCTAATTTTGCTGACTTGGGCTGGATGGGTAACATTTCGATGACAGAAAACGGGAAACTTATGTTAATTTTGTGATTTATTTGTGTGTAGTATATAATTTGTAATTTGAGATTTTGTAATCGTTTTTAGCTTGTGTTGTAATTTGTAATTTTGCATATTCAAATAAAATAGATTTCGTACGTGGGGAAGTAGCGTAGAATAGATCCGTGGCTGGACATTATATATGATTTTAAGTGAAGTAAAATGGCGGGCAGTCGCGAGAAGGCGCTTCGACCGAGGCGCGGAAAGAGAAGTCGCGTTCGCGGACTGCGTTCAGCGCATAGAGAGGAGCAGAGGCATTTCTCCCACTGCCTGAATTTACGACGACAGCAGGAGAAACACAAGGAGACATCCCATGGACGGTATCTGAACGGAAGACATCTTGTGGACCGGCGTAGATGATGTTTCCGTTAGCTTACGAACATTTATACTCGTAATATCGTACGGAATTTGTGAATAATAAGCAAAAATAAATAAATAAAATAATTCAAATCATTAATGAGCTCAAAAACTAAAAAGTAGTAATCTGTGGAATAAATGTTAATTATTATCATCAAAGTAAAAAGACTGACAATTTGTGGAAGTTGCCATCAAAGTTTTAATAACAGGGTAATATATAACTTCCAGGAATTGCGGCTCTGTAGTCGCACGTCCACTTATAATAGTCAAATAAGAAGGTAAAGTATTATATGTCCAACCCAGGTTTGTAAAGTCAATGTAATGTCTGAAATAGCAAAATTAATTAATATTGTAATAAATGCCATATTAACCGGGCAACATAAATATTCAAATTCAATTAAATAAACCATCACATTATTTAAAAGATCATACAATTTTTTGGAAATAATCTAGTGGTTATCGTGTAATTTCTGCTTGAAATTAATGAAATATTCAGGTGTCCCACCAACTATAGGCCACGTAAAAAGTTCTCGGAGAACTGGAATGTATCAAAAGAGCATGGAAAATAATTGGTATTTTAATTATACGTAATGTTCTACAGTAGAATCCCGGTTTTGCGAACTAATTAGGGGCGTAGTCTGTTCGCATTACAAAATGTTCGGATTATCCGAATGTATCGTACATATACAAATACATCTTTAGGGTTACCAGACAATGCAACGTAGCGAGCAATGTGAGAAAATGGCAACGAAGCGTTGCGGTCGCATCATCATCAAGCAGATTCAGTTCCTTACGGCAAAAGATGATTATCCATTTTGCAAGTTCCTCTAACTGAAAATTACCGCTACATGAACATATGATGTAGGTGCACTGTAGTTACCACTACAATAAACGTTTCATTTCGACAACTTGTGTTTCAGTAATTAGTTGTTCGACTATACAGTAATTAATTTATAATTCTTTCTTTACCCTATAAATAAACATTTTATTAATTTATTTTTCCTCCATTCCGAATTTTATTCGGGTTACCTGAAATTTCGGTTTAACGGGGCCATACTGTATTGAAAATCCGAATATTGATTCGATTTGTACTCCATTCTACCATTTGTATCTTCAATGTATTGATGAACTTCCTTTCAAGCGATCCGCAAATCTTAATTGAAATTAGCCCAATTAGGTTTTCTCTCTTAAAAATATGTTTTAAATGTAACGTGAAAGAAAAATTGAGTACGACAATTTTGTACCATCTGTTATTTAATGTACGATAATTTTATATTACCACCGTATGCGACGCCTGCCATACAATGCTACGATATAGTTTGAGAAGTTAGTTAGTTAGTGAGAAGAAGTTAGATAGAGACGTTAGTTGAGATACGTTTGAGAAGTTAAGTTATTGGGCCGCTCGTGGCTGACAGTTAAGACGCCTTAGACCAAGGAGGTCCGGGTTCGATTATCTGACAATCTCATGTGAAATTTGTTCCAAAGAAACGACTTTGCCTCCTTCATAGTGGCTAATCCAACCCCTGTGAAACCTCCTAACAAAGAATCATCCATGGTCCTAAACTCTACCACTCTCGTAATTCCTTCCCAATTCTGGCCGCTGGGTAGTGACGCAGGAGCGTGTGTGAGAGGCGTATATCGCTACCTCTTGACAACTGACTTACGGAATACGTGTAAAGTAATACTAGTTTAACTGCGGATTACTCCAAAAACACGTTCTCTGCCAAGTTGGTTTAAAAGGAACGACACATGACAAGTGATAAAATTTATTCCATGAATTTCATTGATGGCTGGCGACATGGACGGGAAAGGGATTAGATGAAAAGGTTTTATTTATTTAATATTACAATGTCTCCGCGTTCAATAAAATGGTACATTGAAATATATTTCGTGAGAAAAACATCACACGAGAAAAGCGAAACAACAAATGAGCTAGATGTAGCAATTGCAACATTGGATTGTAGAAATGCTTGCGGACAGGATTAAATATGCTTAATTATTTGATAAAATTAAATAAATTTAGAGCTATTTAAGTATGGTGATACCCTTGCTAAATTCCGACTTCTGCACCTTTAAAATATGTTCTGGTCAAAACGTCATCTACCATTCGAGTGTAAGTAAGGTACCATTCGAGTGTAAGCCGTGTCTTTATAAATACAAAGGAGACAGAAACAATTGATTTAATTCATTCATAGAGGCATTAGCTCGTTAAACACTAGCTACAATATAAATGCAAGAATAATAAAGAGATGATAGAACATATAGATAGATGCTAGAACAATAAAAAATTCTAGAACAATTATCGAACATATACATCTAGAAGAAAATAATGGTTTCAGGAGAGAAGTTTTTGTATAGATAGAGTATTTCCCTGCAAATTATTGAGAAACGCCGAGAAATGAACCTAAAATCACACCTTTCATTCATAGACCTAGAAAAGGCATCCGATAGAGTAATAAGGCATCCACTCAGGACAAGCATGGAAAAAAAGGAACACCCAAAAAACTAACAGAGGTAATAAAAAGAATCTTTGATGAAACTCTTATGAATGTGAATCTTCTGAATACAAACAGAAGATAGTATTTTAAAGTAAATAACGGGGGATTCACTATCTTATCTCTGTCTGTCTGTCACTCTGCCTCTATATCATATATATATGTATATATATATATATATATATATATATGTATATATATATATATATGTGTGTGTGTGTGTGTTTAAAATTCCCTCCCAATAATCTCCGTGGATACAAAATCTCATTATCTTTCATTTTTAATGTAGGATTAGAACTAATTACCAGCAACATCTAATGGAATTAATTCAGTTGTTGAATAAGTACTTTTTTAAAAAAAATTGACGTAATTCCGGTATAATCTAATCTAAGTATATATTGACCTCTTTTTTAACACTAATAGATAAAAAATACAGTGCAAAATTATCGATAGTTTAACATTTGGTTGACCGTCATATGATGAATAATCAGATCCATTTTTATGTATAATTTTGTAATTGATGTATAATTCCGCTCTTCCGAAATGCATCCATCTTCTACATTTATATAAATATCTGTCGTTTTATTAGGTTGGCCAATATTATTCTTACTACGAGCAGTTGCAGGAAAATATTGCCAT